ATGGACGTGGACGTGGACATGGACGTGGAAATGGTCATGGACGTGGACGTGGACGTGGACGTGGACGTGGACATGGACGTGGACGTGGACTTGGACGTGGACGTGGTCATGGACGGACGTGGACATGGTCATGGACGTGGACGTGGACATGGACGTGGACGTGGACGTGGACGTGGACATGGACGTGGACGTGGACGGGACGTGGACGTGGACGTGGACATGGACGTGGACATGGACGTGGACATGGACGTGACATGGACGTGGACGTGGACGTGGACGTGGACGTGGACATGGACGTGGACGTGGACATGGACGTGGACATGGACGTGGACATGGACGTGGACATGGACATGGACGTGGACATGGACGTGGACGTGGACGTGGACGTGGACATGGACGTGGACGTGGACATGGTTGTGGACGTGGACGTGGACATGGACGTGGACGTGGACGTGGAGGACTTGGACGTGGACATGGACGTGAACGTGGACATGGACATGATAGTGGACGTGGATGTGGACGTGGACATGGACGTGGACGTGGACGTGGACATGGACGTGGACATGGACGTGAACGTGGACATGGACGTGGACATGGACGTGGACGTGGACGTGGGCGTGGACATGGACGTGGAGGTGGACGTGGACGTGGACGTGGACATGGACGTGGACATGGACGTGGACGTGGATATGGACGTGGACTTGGACGTGGACGTGGAGGTGGACGTGGACATGGACGTGGGACGTGGACGTGGACGTGGACATGGACAGTGGACATGGACGTGGACGTGGACATGGACGTGGACATAACGTGGACGTGGATTGTGGACGTGGACGTGGACATGAAAGTGGACGTGGACGTGGACGTGGACGTGGACATGGACGTGGACATGGACGTGGACATGGACGTGGACGTGGACGTGGACATGGACGTGGACGTGGACGTGGACATGGACATGACATGGACGTGGACATGGACGTGGACGTGGTCATGGACGTGGACTTGGACGTGGACGTGGAGGTGGACGTGGACCATGGACGTGGAAGTGGACGTGGACGTGGACGTAGGACGTGGACGTGGACATGGACGTGGACATGGACGTGGACAGTGGACATGGACGTGGACATGGGACGTGGACGTGGACGTGGACGTGGACGTGGACATGAATAGTGGACGTGGACGTGGACGTGGACGTGGACATTGACGTGGACATGGACGTGGACATGGACGTGGAAGTGGACGTGTACGTGGACGTGGACGTGGACATGGACATGGACGTGGACGTGGACATGGACATGGACGTGGACGTGGGACGTGGAGGACTTGGACTTGGACATGGACATGGACGTGGACTTGGACGTGGACGTGGAGGTGGACGTGGATATGAACGTGGACGTGGACGTGGACGTGGACGTGGACGTGGACATGGACGTGGACATGGACGTGGACGTGGACATGGACGTGGACATAACGTGGACGTGGATGTGGACGTGGACGTGGACATGAAAGTAGACGTGGACGTGGACGTGGACGTGGACCTGGACGTGGACATGGACGTGGACATGGACGTGGACGTGGACGTGGGACATGGACGTGGACGTGGACGTGGACATGGACATGGACGTGGACATGGACGTGGACGTGGACATGGACGTGGACTTGAGGTGGACGTGGAGGTGGACGTGGACATGGACGTGGACGTGGACGTGGACGTGGACGTGGACATGGACGTGGACATGGACGTGGACGTGGACATGGACGTGGACATGGAAGTGGACGTGGATGTGGACGTGGACGTGGACATGAAAGTGGACGTGGACGTGGACGTGGACGTGGACGTGGACGTGGACATGGACGTGGACATGGACGTGGACATGGACGTGGACGTGGACGTGGACATGAAAGTGGACGTGGACGTGGACGTGGACGTGGACGTGGACATGGACGTGGACATGGACGTGGACATGGACGTGGACGTGGACGTGGACGTGGACATGGACGTGGACGTGGACGTGGACATGGACGTGGACGTGGACATGGACATGGACGTGGACGTGGACGTGGAGGACTTGGACGTGGACATGGACGTGGACGAGGACGTGGACGTGGACGTGGAGGTGGACGTGGACATGGTCGTGGACGTGGACGTTGACGTGGATGTGGACGTGGACATGGACGTGGACCTGGACGAGGACGTGGACGTGGACGTGGATTATGACATGGACGTGGACGTGGACATGGACGTGGACATGGACGTGGACGTGGACGTGGACATGGTCGTGGACGTGGACGTGGACGTGGACGTGGACATGGACGTGGACGTAGACGTGGACGTGGACGTGGACATGGACGTCGATGTGGACGTGGACGTGGACGTGGACGTGGAAATGGACGTGGACGTGGACATGGACGTGGACGTGGACATGGACATGGGACTTGGACGTGGACATGGACGTGGACCTGGACGTGGACGTGGACGTGGACGTGGACGTGGACATGGACGTGGACATGGACGTGGACATGGACGTGGACATGGACGTGGACATGGACGTGGACGTGGACGTGGACATGGACGTGGCAGGGACGTGGACGTGGACATGGACGTGGACGTGGACATGGACGTGGACATGGAGGTGGACGTGGATGTGGACGTGGACGTGGACATGAAAGTGGACGTGGACGTGGACGTGGACGTGGACGTGGACATGGACGTGGACATGGACGTGGACATGGACGTGGATGTGGACGTGGACGTGGACGTGGACATGGACGTGGACGTGGACGTGGACGTGGACGTGGACATGGACGTGGACGTGGACGTGGACATGGACGTAGACGTGGACATGGACATGGACGTGGACGTGGACGTGGAGGACTTGGACGTGGACATGGACGTGGACGAGGACGTGGACGTGGACGTGGACGTGGACGTGGACATGGTCGTGGTCGTGGACGTTGACGTGGATGTGGACGTGGACATGGACGTGGACCTGGACGTGGACGTGGACGTGGATGATGACATGGACGTGGACGTGGACGTGGACGTGGACGTGGACATGGACGTGGACGTGGACGTGGACATGGACGTGGACGTGGACGTGGACATGGACGTGGATGTGGACGTGGACGTGGACATGGACGTGGACATGGACGTGGACGTGGACGTGGACGTGGACGTGACTGACGTGGACATGGACGTGGACGTGGACGTGGACGTGGACGTGGACGTGGACATGGACGTAGACATGGACGTGGACGTGGACGTGGACGTGGACATGGACGTGGACGTGGACATGGACGTGGACATGGACGTGGACATGGACGTGGACATGGACGTGGACGTGGACATGGACGTGGATATGGACGTGGACGTGGACGTGGACATGGACGTGGACGTGGACATGGACGTGGATGTGGACGTGGACGTGGACATGGACGTAGACGTGGACGTGGACATGGACGTGGACGTGGAGGACTTGGACGTGGACATGGACGTGGACGTGGACGTGGACGTGGACATGGTCGTGGATGTGGACGTGGACGTGGACGTGGACAGGGACGTGGACATGGACGTGGACGTGGTCGTGGACGTGGACATGGTCGTGGAGGTGGATGTGGACGTGGACGTGGACGTGGTCGTGGACGTTGACGTTGACGTGGACGTGGACGTGGACGTGGTCGTGGACGTGGAGGTCTTGGACGTGGACATGGACGTGGACAAGGACGTGGTCGTGGACGTGGACGTGGACGTGGACGTGGACATGGACGTGGACTTGGACGTGGACATGGACGTGGACGTGGACATGGACATGATAGTGGACGTGGATGTGGACGTGGACATGGACGTGGACGTGGACGTGGACATGGACGTGGACATGGACGTGAACGTGGACATGGACGTGGACATGGACGTGGACGTGGACGTGGGCGTGGACATGGACGTGGAGGTGGACGTGGACGTGGACGTGGACATGGACGTGGACATGGACGTGGACGTGGATATGGACGTGGACTTGGACGTGGACGTGGAGGTGGACGTGGACATGGACGTGGACGTGGACGTGGACGTGGACATGGACGTGGACATGGACGTGGACGTGGACATGGACGTGGACATAACGTGGACGTGGATGTGGACGTGGACGTGGACATGAAAGTGGACGTGGACGTGGACGTGGACGTGGACATGGACGTGGACATGGACGTGGACATGGACGTGGACGTGGACGTGGACATGGACGTGGACGTGGACGTGGACATGGACATGGACATGGACGTGGACATGGACGTGGACGTGGTCATGGACGTGGACTTGGACGTGGACGTGGAGGTGGACGTGGACATGGACGTGGAAGTGGACGTGGACGTGGACGTAGACGTGGACGTGGACATGGACGTGGACATGGACGTGGACGTGGACATGGACGTGGACATGGACGTGGACGTGGACGTGGACGTGGACGTGGACGTGGACATGAAAGTGGACGTGGACGTGGACGTGGACGTGGACATTGACGTGGACATGGACGTGGACATGGACGTGGAAGTGGACGTGTACGTGGACGTGGACGTGGACATGGACATGGACGTGGACGTGGACATGGACATGGACGTGGACGTGGACGTGGAGGACTTGGACTTGGACATGGACATGGACGTGGACTTGGACGTGGACGTGGAGGTGGACGTGGATATGAACGTGGACGTGGACGTGGACGTGGACGTGGACGTGGACATGGACGTGGACATGGACGTGGACGTGGACATGGACGTGGACATAACGTGGACGTGGATGTGGACGTGGACGTGGACATGAAAGTGGACGTGGACGTGGACGTGGACGTGGACCTGGACGTGGACATGGACGTGGACATGGACGTGGACGTGGACGTGGACATGGACGTGGACGTGGACGTGGACATGGACATGGACGTGGACATGGACGTGGACGTGGACATGGACGTGGACTTGGAGGTGGACGTGGAGGTGGACGTGGACATGGACGTGGACGTGGACGTGGACGTGGACGTGGACATGGACGTGGACATGGACGTGGACGTGGACATGGACGTGGACATGGAAGTGGACGTGGATGTGGACGTGGACGTGGACATGAAAGTGGACGTGGACGTGGACGTGGACGTGGACGTGGACGTGGACATGGACGTGGACATGGACGTGGACATGGACTGGACGGGACGTGGACATGAAAGTGGACGTGGACGTGGACGTGGACGTGGACGTGGACATGGACGTGGACATGGACGTGGACATGGACGTGGACGTGGACGTGGACGTGGACATGGACGTGGACGTGGACGTGGACATGGACGTGGACGTGGACATGGACATGGACGTGGACGTGGACGTGGAGGACTTGGACGTGGACATGGACGTGGACGAGGACGTGGACGTGGACGTGGAGGTGGACGTGGACATGGTCGTGGACGTGGACGTTGACGTGGATGTGGACGTGGACATGGACGTGGACCTGGACGAGGACGTGGACGTGGACGTGGATTATGACATGGACGTGGACGTGGACATGGACGTGGACATGGACGTGGACGTGGACGTGGACATGGTCGTGGACGTGGACGTGGACGTGGACGTGGACATGGACGTGGACGTAGACGTGGACGTGGACGTGGACATGGACGTCGATGTGGACGTGGACGTGGACGTGGACGTGGAAATGGACGTGGACGTGGACATGGACGTGGACGTGGACATGGACATGGACTTGGACGTGGACATGGACGTGGACCTGGACGTGGACGTGGACGTGGACGTGGACGTGGACATGGACGTGGACATGGACGTGGACATGGACGTGGACATGGACGTGGACATGGACGTGGACGTGGACGTGGACATGGACGTGGCAGGGACGTGGACGTGGACATGGACGTGGACGTGGACATGGACGTGGACATGGAGGTGGACGTGGATGTGGACGTGGACGTGGACATGAAAGTGGACGTGGACGTGGACGTGGACGTGGACGTGGACATGGACGTGGACATGGACGTGGACATGGACGTGGATGTGGACGTGGACGTGGACGTGGACATGGACGTGGACGTGGACGTGGACGTGGACGTGGACATGGACGTGGACGTGGACGTGGACATGGACGTAGACGTGGAGGACTTGGACGTGGACATGGACGTGGATGTGGACATGAACGTGGACATGGACGTGGACGTGGACATGGTCGTGGTCGTGGACGTTGACGTGGATGTGGACGTGGACATGGACGTGGACCTGGACGTGGACGTGGACGTGGATGATGACATGGACGTGGACGTGGACGTGGACGTGGACGTGGACATGGACGTGGACGTGGACGTGGACATGGACGTGGACGTGGACGTGGACATGGACGTGGATGTGGACGTGGACGTGGACATGGACGTGGACATGGACGTGGACGTGGACGTGGACGTGGACGTGGACGTGGACGTGGACATGGACGTGGACGTGGACGTGGACGTGGACGTGGACGTGGAAATGGACGTAGACATGGACGTGGACGTGGACGTGGACGTGGACATGGACGTGGACGTGGACATGGACGTGGACATGGACGTGGACATGGACGTGGACATGGACGTGGACGTGGACATGGACGTGGATATGGACGTGGACGTGGACGTGGACATGGACGTGGACGTGGACATGGACGTGGATGTGGACGTGGACGTGGACATGGACGTAGACGTGGACGTGGACATGGACGTGGACGTGGAGGACTTGGACGTGGACATGGACGTGGACGTGGACGTGGACGTGGACATGGTCGTGGATGTGGACGTGGACGTGGACGTGGACAGGGACGTGGACATGGACGTGGACGTGGTCGTGGACGTGGACATGGTCGTGGAGGTGGATGTGGACGTGGACGTGGACGTGGTCGTGGACGTTGACGTTGACGTGGACGTGGACGTGGACGTGGTCGTGGACGTGGAGGTCTTGGACGTGGACATGGACGTGGACAAGGACGTGGTCGTGGACGTGGACGTGGACGTGGACGTGGTCAACGACGTGGTCGAAGAGGTGGACGTGGTCGTCCACGACGTGGACGTGGACGTAGACGTGGACGTGGACGTGGTCGTGGACATGGACGTGGACATGGACGTGGTCGTGGTCGTGGACGTGGACGTGGACGTGGTCGTGGACATGGACGTGGACGTGGAGGACGTGGACGTGGAGGACGTGGACGTGGACGTGGAGGACGTGGACGTGGACGTGGACGTGGTCGTGGACGTGGACGTTGACATGGACGTGGACGTGGACATGGACGTGGTTGTGGAGGTGGACGTGGACGTGGACGTCGACGTGGACTTGGACGAGGACGTGGACGTGGACGTGGACCTGGACGTGGACGTGGACGTGGACGTGGACATGGACGTGGACTTGGACGTGGACGTGGACTTGGACTTGAACTTGGACGTGGACGTGGAAGTGGACGTGGACGTGGTCGTGGACGTGGACGTGGACGTGGTCATGGACGTGGACGTGGATGTGGACGTGGAAGTGGACGTGGTCATGGAGGTGGACGTCCACGTGGACATGGACGCCGACGTGGATGTGGACGTGGACGTGGACGTGGACGTGGACGTGGAGGACGTGGACATGGAGGACGTAGACGTGGACGTGGAAGTGGTCATGGACGTGGACGTGGATGTGGACGTGGACGTGTACGTGGTCGCGGACATGGACGTGGACGACGTCGACGTGGACATGGACGTGAATGTGGACGTGGACGTGGACGAGGACGTGGACGTGGACGGGGTCGTGGACGTGGACGTGGATGTGGACGTGGACCTAGACGTGGACGTGGACGTGGACGTGGACGTGGACGAGGACGTGGACGTGGACTTGGACGTGGACGTGGACGTGGATGTGGATGTGGACGTGGACGAGGACGTGGACGTGGACGAGGACGTGGACGTGGACCTGGACGTGGTCGTGGACGTGGACGTGGATGTGGACGTTGACGTGGACATGGACGTGGACGTGGACGTGGACGTGGACGTGAACGTGGACGTGGACGTGGACGTGGACATGGACGTGGACGTGGACGTGGAAATGGACGTGGACGTGCACGTGGACGTGGACGTGGACGTGGACGTGGACATGGTCGTGGACGTGGACGTGGACGTGGACGTGGTCGTGGACGTGGACGTGGACGTGGACGTGGTCGTGGACGTGGACGTGGACGTGGACATGGACGTGGACGTGGACGTGGACGTGGACGTGGACGTGGACGTGGATGTGGGCGTGGACATGGACGTGGACGTGGACATGGACGTGGACATGGACGTGGACGTGGACGTGGACGTGGACATGGACGTGGACGTGGATGTGGACGTGGACATAGACGTGGACGTGGACATGGACGTGGACATGGACGTGGACGTGGACGTGGACGTGGACATGGACGTGGACGTGGTCGTGGACGTGGACGTGGACATGGACGTGGACATGGACGTGGACATGGACGTGGACGTGGACATGGACGTGGACGTGGACGTGGACGTGGACCTGGACGTGGACGTGGACGTGGAAGTGGACGTGGACGTGGACGTGGACGCGGACGTGGACATGGACGTGGACATGGACGCGGACATGGACATGGACGTGGACATGGACATGGACGTGGACGTGGATGTGGACATGGACGTGGACATGGACGTGGACGTGGACGTGGACGTGGACGTGGACGTGGACGTGGACATGGACGTGGACGTGGACGTGGAGGACTTGGACGTGGACATGGACGTGGACGTGGACGTGGACGTAGACGTGGACGTGGACATGGACGTGGACGTGGACGTGGACGTGGACGTGGACGTGGACATGGACGTGGACATGGACGTGGACGTGGACGTGGACGTGGACGTGGACGTGGATGTGGACGTGGACATGGACGTGGACGTGGACATGGACGTGGACATGGACGTGGACGTGGACGTGGACGTGGACATGGACGTGGACGTGGACGTGGACGTGGACATGGACGTGGACGTGGACATGGACGTGGACATGGACGTGGACGTGGACGTGGACGTGGTTGTGGACGTGGACGTGGACATGGACGTGGACATGGACGTGGACATGGACGTGGACGTGGACATGGACGTGGACGTGGACGTGGACGTGGACCTGGACGTGGACGTGGACGTGGAAGTGGACGTGGACGTGGACGTGGACGCGGACGTGGACATGGACGTGGACATGGACGCGGACATGGACATGGACGTGGACATGGACGTGGACGTGGACGTGGACGTGGACATGGACGTGGACGTGGACGTGGACGTGGACATGGACGTGGACATGGACGTGGACATAGACGTGGACGTGGACGTGGACGTGGACTTGGACGTGGACGTGGAAGTGGACGTGGTCGTGGACGTGGACATGGACAAGGACGTGGTCATGGACGTGGACGTGGATGTGGACGTGGAAGTGGACGTGGTCATGAAGGTGGACGTCCACGTGGACATGGACGCCGACGTGGATGTGGACGTGGACGTGGACGTGGAGGACGTGGACATGGAGGACGTAGACGTGGACGTGGAAGTGGTCGTGGACGTGGACGTGGACGTGGACGTGGACGTGTACTTGGTCGCGGACGTGGACGTGGAGGACGTCGATGTGGACATGGACGTGGATGTGGACGTGGACGTGGACGAGGACGTGGACGGGGTCGTGGACGTGGACGAGGACGTGGACGTGGACCTAGACGTGGACGTGGACGTGGACGTGGACATGGACGTGGACGTGGACGTGGACGAGGACGTGGACGTGGACATGGACGTGGACGTGGACGAGGACGTGGACGTGGACGAGGACGTGGACGTGGATGAGGACGTGGACGTGGACGTGGTCGTGGACGTGGACGTGGACGTGGACATGGACGTGGACGTGGACGTGGAGGACTTGGACGTGGACATGGACGTGGACGTGGACGTGGACGTGGACGTGGACGTGGACGTGGACATGGACGTGGACATGGACGTGGACGTGGACATGGACGTGGACGTGGACATGGACGTGGACGTGAACGTGGACGTGGACATGGACGTGGACGTGGACGTGGACGTG